GGTATTTGTGAGCTAAACTTTTGGTTTTTGTTTTTGGAACTTTAATTTTTTGAGATGAGGTCTCATGCAACCAGACTGGCCTCAAATACACTGTGTAGTTGAAGATGAGCTTGTGATTCTGACCTTCCCTTCTTACAGAGATTGAACTCAGGATTCTATGAGTGCTGAGTGGGCACTCTTCTAAAGCTGAATTATTTTTTTGTTTTGTTTTTTGAGACAGGGTTTCTTTGTGTAGCCCTAGCTGTCCTGGAACACTCTCTGTAGACCAGTCTAGCCTTGGACTCACTGAGATCTACCTGCCTCTGCCTCCCAAGTGCTGGGATTAAAGGTGTGTGCCATCACCACCTGGCCAGCTGAACTACCTTTTACATTTTTTAAAAAGTTTATACAATATATTTTGATCATATTCTTTCCCTTCTCCAACTCCTCCAACATCCTCCCAAACTCCCTACCCCCCCAACTTCATGTTCTTTATTAAAACAAATAAAACCCACAGGAAAAACAAAAAATGCAAATCAAAATAAAAGTTAAAAGGAAAATCAGTAAGACAAGAAAAAATTCCAAAACAAAAACAAAATGCATAAAAAATCATGAAGTCTGTTTTGTATTGGTCAGCTACTCCTAGGCATGGGGCCCACCCTGAAACAGTGGATAGACCCAGTGACACTCAATTGAGGAAAACTGATTTTCTTTTCCCAGCTGGTATTAGTTACATACAGCTTCTTCGTTAGGTGTGGGACCGTGTTCACTTCCCCTCATTAATGCTGGGTTTTTTTCTGGTTTGAACTTGTGCAAGTCCTTCCATCAGAGAGGCTTCTTTTTTGCAGCAGATGGTGATTAGCAAAGGGACCCACAACTGGACAGTTTGCATGGAGTGTGAGACTTCGGAGCACTGAGCCCCAAATGGGATGTCTTCAGCAAACCCTTCCTCTCAAGGCCCAGGGATCTATGTAGGAGAGGAGGCTGAGAGATTGGCATTTTCCGGAAACAGAACAGATGCACATATGAACTCGGAGACTGTGAACTGAACCTCTTACCCAACTCTGGAAGGCCTCATTAAAATCCAGGAAGCATCAACCTGTGGTCTGTGTGTGCTTATGTGCACAGTCCAGTGCTGTGTACTTGTTTACTTTGTAATGGGTTTAGTATTTGTGTGTTTTTTTTAATGGAATATAGTATAATTTGATACATGTGGACATTTTAGCAACCAAATCTGGGTAATTAGCATTTCTGTCACCAAACATACTATCATATACACGTGTCAGGAATACAGTCCTCCAGTTATTTTACAAAGTATGAGTCTTAGAATGATTCCATGCAAAAATATTACCCACCACTTATTTTATTTTAGAATCTATTACTAACCCTCCCCCTCCATCCCTTCATTTCTAGTGATCTCTGTGCCACTCCATATTTTCAGGTGGCCAACATAATTTTAGTTTTTGCTAGTAAGTCTTTCTGTGCCTGGGTTATTTCACTGAACTAATCAACCTCTGCCAGTTCTATCCATGTTTTCACATGGTAAGATTCCACCCACCTGCCCTTTTTAAGATACTGTCTTTCTATGTAGCCCTGGCTCACCTGGACCTTACTATATAGACCAAGCTGGCCTTGAACTCAAGAGATTAAAGACATGTACCACACCCAGCAGATTCCACCCTTTGTGTATGCTTTTACATCATCCTGAAAGGAGCAGCCAAATCCTGCGGTAGGTTTGTTGGAAGCTTATGTTGTGTTAGTTCCTCCATCCTACCTACCCTGAAAAAAATGTAGATCTGATAGTTTCTACCACTGGCCATCTCCACTTTTCTGGAGCCAAGGCCTCTGTACTGTAAAAGCAGCTGAAGAGACACCGCACCCTCACCCCACAGCCCCACATGTACAGCTCTGCTGATGGCCACTGTGTAGCCACTCTGGCCCAGGACCACACTTGGGATGTGATTTTCCTCAAAAGCAGCATTAACCAGACTTCTAGAAAGGAGGAAATATTTGCTCTCAAGGTTCCCTTGGGGTCCAATCTACTAATTGGATCTAGATTTTAATTTGTTCTCTAATAACATAGCAGACTCTGGGAAAACTTAATAATCACAGAACATCATATATAGCTGTATTTTAATCCATATTAATCTAAATCTAAATATGGACAATATTAATTTTCTTTTGCTATAGACAGCAGTGCTATTTGAAAGTCAATATCCCAAGTAAGACTGAAAGTTCAAGGTCAGCCTGGACTGAATTAGTGAAACCCTGTCTCAAAATGAAAAGTAAAGATGGGTCTGGGTTAGGTAGAGTTGCCTAGCATGTGTGAGGCCCTAGGTCCCATCCCCAGTGACAACCCAGAAGTCAGCCCAAATTCAAATCTGTTTGATTCTAAGACCATGTGTGAAAAGCTTTGTCCCAGCCTGTGTGTTTTGGGGATTCAGAGGTAGGGCCTGGTGAGAAGTTCTTGGAAGGGGCTAACCAGCCCCAGCCTCTTCCCTTACCGCCCCCCCCCCCTGTTCACTTTCAAACGACCTGCTCCTTTCATAATTTACAGCCTTGCCACAAGCCCAAAAGCACAGGGTCAACTGTGACAGAAGCCCCCAGACTGTGAACCTCAGATACCTGGGATTCTTGTAAATTCTCAGATATACTGAATACCAACGAACACAAAATTAACAGTCAAGTGGAATAAAAGTAGGAAAAAATTTAAAGCATGAAAATGTTATGAACAAAGTACAGTACCTTGATTAGAATTCAAAATTAGTGCTGTCAGGAGTCTCCAGGATGAAAGGCTTCCCCTTTAGCACTCTTAAGATGAACATTTTGGTTAGGCAGGGTGGCACACTACTACAATCCCTAGATACTCAGGGGTCTAAGGTATGGGAATGCTTAAGCCTAGGAGTTCTGGGTCAACCTAAGTAACAGGAAACTGACATTTCTTTACTCTGAACTCTACCATGAGGTCCTGTATTTTCCTTGAGGTATACAACATACAAAAGGAAATTTCACCCTTTTGTTACTTAAGAATGCCTGAAATCTTTCCAGATGACTTTCCCAAACCTATTCTCAAAGCAGTGTCATGAGGCTATTTATATGCTAGATACCCCATATCCTTTTAACACTGCAAAACGCAAGCCAGGAAATTCTTCAAGCTGTTCTCAATAATGAACACATTTTAAAGTGAGTGCCAATTTCCAAAGAGTGTGTGTCACTAATTTAGCTCAGCTTTTACATAAGCTTCTTCCAAACTCGAAATGTTTATTTCCTACATATAATTTGGTTTCCCTAGGCATATGAATACACATAAGGAAATGAGGATAAATCCCTGTCATTGTTTCTTGCCTTTCCTCATCTTGTTTGTATGTTAGAGACAGCTCACTATGCAGCCCAGATTGACCTAGAACTTTCCAACCTCTTGTCTAGGCCTCCAGAAGCTTGGGGCTGCACTTCAGGCATGTACTCACCACACATGGCCCATATTATTTGTGTACGTCTTGCACTACTCTGCTTCACAATTTACCGAGTATTCCTTTCCAAGCAATGTCTTTCCTGTGTTTATAACCTGAGAGTTTTCTGGCCACGGGTTCAGTTTTTGCTCTCAGGCGCTTGCTTTGGGCATTTACAACTCTGTAAGGGTGGCATGGTAAGCGCTGCCCTGCTTTAACAGGTGAGCTATCAATACAAAATTAAATTGTTTTTTGCTAAGTCATGCACCTGTAAAGACAGGACTGGAAATCAGGGCATGCCTAATGCTGTGTGCTATTATAATGACTATTTCAAATTATTTTTGCTCAACATTTTTTTGGGCTCAACCTTAAATTATCCTTTATATTTTCATGTTATTCCCGGTCTATAAAGTGTCTTTTATTTCTTTCTTATTTTAAGTGCAGGGAGAGGGGCAGTCCTAAAAAAAAAAAAAAAAAAAAAAAAAAAAACCATCTACTACATGGGTTTCTGAGGAAGCATCAAAGGTAAGCATTTGAAAATGAAAATAACCTTGTAAAATCAATATATCTATGTAGCTTTGTTTTTGTTTTGTTGTTTTATTCTTTCTTCTTTTGGGGAGCCTGCCACCCAGCTTCCAAATAAATCCACATGGAGTTTTAGTATTACTTATAAATGCCTGGCCTTAGTTTAGCTTGTTTCTTACCAGCTTTTAACTTAAATTATCTACCTTTTGCCTCTGGGCCTTTCCTTTTCTTTTGTAATCTTACTTCCACTCTTACTCTATGGCTGGCTGTATGGCTGTCCCCTTCTTTTCTCACTCCTCTATGGATGCCTTCTATTGATTTTCCTGCCTGTCAGCCCCACCTATTCTTTCTCCTGCCTTACTATTGGCCATTCAGCTCTTTGTTAGACCAATCAGGTGTTTTAGACAGGCAAAGTAACACAGCTTCACAAATGCAATATAAAAGAATGCAACACATCTCTGCATCATTAAACATGTTCCACAGCATAAACAAATGTAACACACCTTAAAACAATACTCCACAACACCTGAAATACCAAAATAATCCAAATACAGCAGTGTTTACATGGGTATTGTGTTTATAGAGCACATCTCTTTCTTCCTTGTTGTAAGTTTGCAAAAACCTTGGCGTATACAAAATGTTGAGTTCTACAATCCCACGGCTTCAGGAAGCTGTGATGAAAATGAGGCAGTCCACATAAAGAGACCACATTGGTTCTGGAGCTGACTCACACTTATAAACCAAAAAGTACCATAATCTTACAACAAAGTCAAAAGAATGAATTCTTACCTTTCAACTGCTGCTATTGTGTAGAATACACTGTAAATATTCATGGGTGTTTTTTCAAACTGACTATCCTCACTCTTTGAAACATCCATCTGAGCATAACATCTGAGCATGTTACTCTTCTATAAAGTAAAAGCCAGCATTTCCTATTTAAACATTTTATTTGTGTTAAATATAGAATTCCTGGAAGCCAAATAAGGAAACCACACTAAACTCAAAATACTATTGAATCATAAAACAAACCGTATAAAGATAAACCCAGACAATATAATACACACTTTATTCCCATCAATCACCACATCTCTAGCAAGATCAGTTTTTTTTCAAGTCTCAAGTTCTAAACAATTAACAACCCATTCTGTAAAATAGAATGAAAAAACTATGACCAAAAGAAGACAAATGAAGGTTTAGCACATTATCAATGAATGGTCTTATGTTAAGAACTGCAACATTTCTGTCAGTAGTAACCATAGGGAGGCCGCTGGTTGTGACCATATTGTCCGTACTGTTGATAGTAAGGATCTTGTCTCTGCTGTGGATAATTGTTACCCCACGACCGTCCATGCCACTGATTTGATCGATTGTCACTTGGCCATCCTCGTCTGTTATCCCTACCTCTAAACTGTCTGTTATCTTGCAGCCTACCAAAAGAAAACAAAAATATTAACTTCCCTTAAAAAACAAAACAAAACATAAGAATCAACCCCGCGGTACTTGAGCTCTCAAGTAATTGAAAGTGAAAACATTTCCCTGTGGCACATCACAGCACTAGTCACATTTTTCTAAGATGTAAGTCATTCTTCTTCCAGCATCACACTGGATGCTTTTACTGGATAAGCAGGTAACAAGTCCAGGTGTGATCAAACTGACACCTACTAAAATGCAAAAAACACTCTCACTTCTTTATTGTTTCAAATTATTACATAATTTACCATTTCATTTTAGAAAAATTTTAAATTAATCAAAACAATACCTTCAAGAAATCAAGCACAAAACTACAGTTTATTAAGTATATTTGTAAAGAAAATATTAGTTTGAGACAGGGTATCATTGGGTAGCCAGGCAGGCTCTATTGCCTCAGCCTCCCAAGTACTGTAAGTATGGCTGGCATCACTATGCCTGGCTTAAACAGGGCACATAAAAACAAGTATTTAGAGTGCTATTCCAGGCACTGTTAGAGGGCTGTGGATGAACCACACTGAAAACATTTTCACTGGCTTTATGGGCAAGCATGTTAAAGTTATCTTTTTCCAGACAACCCTCTGCATTTATCTTTTGGAAATAACACATACCAGTTGCCTCTATTTCTTTGGTGACCACCAGCTCTGCTATTCCATTCCTCAACAATTGGAGGGGATTCAGGAGGACGTTTCAAGTATTCCTGGTACTCTTTGTCGTCTTGTGTAAATCTGCTTGCAAACATCTCTTCAAAATTTGGAACCACTTCAGAAGTATCGCTCATCTTGAAAATCTGTACAATTTTTAAGATCTGTCAGAATTTCTAAAAATTAACACTAATTTATTAGCTTACGTAAAACCAAAAGGTAAATAATTTTGGACAGAGTACTAACAAAAATCCCTATGTGTTTTTAAACTTAGGACTGTAACATTGTATTACTGGAGCCTGCAATACTAAGATGAACATATATCAAGGACCACACCCCAGTCTAGAAGAGATAGATTTGGGGGCTGGGGAAAATAGCTCAATTGGTAACGTGCTTGTCATGCAGGAATGTGGACCTGAGTTTGTTCTCCAGCATCTATATAAAAAGCCTGGCCAGTGGAACAGGCTTACAATCCCAATGCTGGGGAAGTGGAGACAGGCATCCCTGGAGCTTTCTGGCCAGTCATCTTAGCTAATTGGCAAGTTTCAGGTTCCAGTGAAAGACCCAGTTTAGAAATCAAGGTAGACAGCTCTTGAAGACTGACCCTGGAGTGCATATCTGGCTTCCACATGTGCCCTACACATACACCCACAATAAAATGTATAAAGGAGACATGATGTAAACAAAGGGAGAAGCAGAAGACATTAAGAAATAAAACTAGGGAAGTAATCAAGGGATAAATTGTGGAAAATGTATCCAATGCAAATACTTTTGTATCTTCTTTCTAGGGGACAATGGAAGTAACTTGGACTTATGAGGGTAAGCCTAAGGATACAATCTGCCTTTATGTGTGGTGATACACACAGGTAACAGGTAGAGGAGCCACAGACCAATCTGGTCTATAATTAATTCCAAGCCAGCAAGGGCTACAAGTGAGATCCCATCTCAACAAAGATGAAGGACTCCTTTTGTAACTGGGTAGAGACTAGTGAAACTAAACTAAAGCAGAGTACCGTAGTCATGTAGATAACATGCTGAAAAGTTAATGTGAGGTAGGGACTGCGAAAACAAACGAACTCTAGTAAGAAATAGTCACCAACTCTATAGACATGGGAGAAGGCGACATGGAGTGATCCTCAAGCTTCCTGCCTGCACATTATAGTGCCACTGAAACTATGAGAAAGGTGGGTAAGGGTACACTGAATTTAAAGTGAGCCAGGAGCCAGGTGATAGTAGCCCATATACCCTTAATCCCAGTACTCGGGAGACAGAGGCAGTCAGATCTCTAAGTTCGAGGCCAACCTGGTCCACAGAGTGAGTTCCAAGACAGCCAGGGCTACACAGAAACCCTGTCTTGAGAAAACCAAAAACAAACAAAAAGTGAGCTATGGTCCACACATCCAAGAGTCAATTCAGTTATCTGACAATAGGAGAAGAATTGAAGATGAATAAGGGAGATATGAGCAATGTTTTTGGTAGTTAATGCTGTAAAAGAGGATGAGACTCCTTAGGGAGAATGTGGAAGAGCCCTGGAGAACATCAGTAGTCAAAGAGCACTCACAGACAATGAAAGGGTAACAAAAAACACACAGAAGCCAACCAGAAAAGATTGCCATACAAGGTAAGAGAATAAAGAATGTGTTGACACTGGCAAATCAGACAACAGTAGAAAGAATAAAAAAGAGAATTGAATGCAGATATCAGGGGATTGCTTTAGAGTAGTAGGAAATGAAGCAGGACTGTAAATGGCTGTGAATTACCTGGAAGATGAGAAATTAGAATTTTTGAGAAGCTTGAATAATTGAGTCAGTAGCTGTAATGTCAGCATTCAGGAGCCTCAAACAGAAGGAGTCTGAGTTTGAAGCCAGCTTGGGTTAAAAGTAAAGCCCTGTCTTTTGCCAGGTTGGTGGTGGCAAAAACCTTTAATTCCAGCAGAGGCAGGCTGATCTCTGAGTTGGAGGCCAGCCTGGTCTTCAGAAAGAGAAAGCCTGTATTGAAAAACCAAGAAACTGTGCTAAATAAACTAATAATTAAATACATACATACATACATACATACATACATACATACATACAATGCACGCAAACACACACACACACACACAGTGAAAAGGAGCAAACTGGGTACAGTGACACAGCGATATATACCTGTAGTCTCAGCTACTTCAGATACTAAGACAGAATTGCTCGAACCCTTGAATTTTAAGCCAACCCACGCAACATATATGAAAATAAGTAATGGGGGATGTCCTTCTATATGTTGTTAATATACATTTGTTTTATGGTTGGCGAATAAAACACTGATTGGCCAGTAGCCAGGCAGGAGATATAGGCAGGGCTACCACAGGAGATTTCTGGGGTAAGGATGCAGAGAGGAGCCAAGAGAGTTACCATGTATCTGCCCAAAGAGTAACAGGTCTGGGCATTCTCCAGTAAGCAAAGACACGGGGAAATACTTAGATTAATAGAATGAATTAATGATTAAGAGAGAGGTAGCCAATAAGAAACTTGGGCCAATGGCCAAACAGTTTATAATTAATATAAGCCTCTGTGTGTTTATTTGGGGCTAAATGGCTGTGGGACTAGGCAGGACAGAAACAGTGTCCACAAACAGGTATTTAGATGCAGTTACTAAAGTTTGGGTAACGATTTTATAATCTTATAGATGTATTCATACTCCAGATCCTGTGACAGATGAAAAATACCTAACACTAATAAGATACTGTCTAACGAACATAAAAAGCATAATCTGGCCTGGCAAAATATCTCAGGAGGTAAAGGTGCTTGGGACCAAACCTAAGAACCCAAGTTTAATCCCAAATCCCATATGGTGGAAGCAAACAACAGACGCCTACAAGTTGTCCTCTGACCTCCACACATGTGCCATGGCATAAAGACCCACACACAAATGTAATTTTTAAAAAAAGCATGACCTATCAGCTGAGTTTTCCATATAATATTTGGACATATTGAAAAATATTTGTCCAACCCTCTAGAAACAGGAAAAGATTTCGCTCTAATCCTCAAGGAATCAGAGCACAGGGTTTTCTAGCTTCAGCTAAGGCCTGGAAACTGACAAATTATATTAGTCCCCACTTCCCAGTCTTCCTTGATCAAGTACTGTTCAGCTTTTCCATCCACAGCTTTCCAAATCCAAACTTTGAGTTTTTATTGATTGCCTCAAAACCAGCAGGGATGGTTTTGCATGCCTTTAATCCCAGCACTCAGGATGCAGAGGCAGGCAGATCTCTGTGCATTCGAGGCCAGCCTGGTCTACAGAGCTAGTTCCAGGACAGATAGGGCTGTTACACAGAGAAACCTGTCTTGAAACCTCCCCTCCAAAAACCAAAACCAAACCAAAACCAAAACCAAAACAAAAAACAAAAAAAAAAAAACCAAAAACAAACAAACAAACAAACAAACAAAAAAAAACCAACCCCCTCCCCACACAAAACAAATTTCTAAATCTGGTAGAGCTAACACTCCTGAGGTAGAGGCAGGAGGATCAACTGAGCCTAGATGTACAAGACTAGCCTTGGCAAAGAAAAAAGAATCAAAACCTATTTTATGATTTGAGGCAGATTTAACATCATGCTAAAAGCTTAAAACCAAATCTTTCCCCTGGTATCCTCAAATTATTTTTTCCCAGTAGTAATTAAACTTCTAATAAAGCTTTTGATATGGTTTTTAACTGGAAAATAGCTTCTTCACTGCTTTGTCTTTCTTCAAAATATGTAAGCATTTATAGCATTTAAATACTACCCTTATTCCAACAAAATTAAACTGGAATGTGATTTCAATATAAGAAACAGTATCTGAATGTTCTACCTTTCTGGCTACTACTTAGATTATGCCATATTAATTATACTTGTGTGCCTGGTATAGGCAAAATAATGTCAAATACCAAAAAGCATATGAGATTAAAACAAGTAGGCTGGGTGTAGTAGTGCATACCTTTAATCCCAGCACTTGAGGGGCAGAGTCAGAAGGAACTCTGAGTTTGAGGCCAGCCTAGTCTACAAAGGACAGCAAGAACTGTGCAGAGTGACAGTCTTAAAACCAAAGAACAAAAACTCCCAACTAATTAAAAGTGTCCATGCTTCCATATTCACCACAGAAGCCACTATGAAAGACAACCCATTCCTAATTAAGACATGCAGTATATTCATAAGGCAAAGAAAATGCACTACTGTTTCCTCCACACCCCTACCACAATAAGCAAGTATCTTCATTCTTATGAGAATGGAATTTAAACAAAATCTTAACACAAGCTTTAATTAACCCAAAGATTTGAGGCAACTATACTGTTTAATGTTAAAGTGATTAAATACAGGCTGGGGACAACACCAACAGACAGGCTAACACAGAAGGGGAAAACTCAAGAGGCCTCAGCAAAGAACCGCAGGAATGTTAAAAGCAAGAGAAAGTCTTCCCAAGAGCAGAACACACAAACTGGTTATTCAGTACCATATAGGATCAGTTCTGAAAACATACATACAAAATGAGCGAGTTGTGTGTGTGTGTCCGTATATTAAAAACACATTAAACATATATGTAACACTAAAGAGGCTACGAATTTGAAAGCAAGTAAGATACATGGGAGGGGTTGGAGGCAGGAAAAATGTAATTATAGTTCAAAAAATATATTTAATAATAAAATTAAGTAAATATGGCTTTGAGATTTTAAAGACCTTTTAAAAGTGTGTGAAGGGCTGGAGAGAGAGCTCAGTATTCAAGAGCCTTCATTGTTCTTCCAAAGGACCACAGGATCTCGTACCCCTGTAGGGCGGCTCACAACTGTAATTCTAGCTCTAGGGGGTGCGACGCCTCCTTCTGGCCTCTGTGGGCACCAACACACACACACACACACCCCACACACACACACCCCCCACACACACACCCCACACGCATGCACGCACACATTCTGTACTTCTAGCTCCAGGGAACCCAACTTCCCCTTGTCTGAGTCTTCAAAACCAACAAGCTAGTTTAAGCATCAGTAACTTCGGGACATAGGCTCGCGGTGGTTGTGGCAGCAGCTGGATGAAAGACTACACCTCTCACTGTACTTGAACCCCACTAATTTCCTCAGCACAGATCACACCACACACGTTTGGCTGAGGTCCTCCAACCCCGGTAAAGGCTAACAGAAAGGGCTCCGGCTGCTCTCCAGAGGCGAGCCCGGGAACAGAGGAGGATAACTAACTGAAAAGTGCACATCTGTCACATGGCTTACAATGGCTTTGACAAAGCGGCTCCTTCCAGAAGCGCCTACAAGGGCAGACTTGAGGAGAGCGAGGCTCTGCGGAGCAGCGACCTCAGGGCTCCAGCGTCAACCCCGAGAGGGATCGGCCGCCTCCCGCTCCAGCCTCCCTAATCCCTCCGCCTCCCCGACCGGAAGCGTCATCCGCCTAGGGCTGTGCTCACCCTTCCTCGGGACGCCCTGCAGGGACCTCGGACGCCCGCACAGCAGCACCCCACACCACTCTCCAAGGTAACCAAACGCGCAGGAAACTCTCACTTCCCCACTTCCGCTTCCGGAGCACAAAAGCCGAAGTCGCTTATCAAATATCGCGATATTTAGAGGTCGTCGGGTTGATCCCTCCCTCTTCCTGCCCGGCTTTTCGTGTTCGAACTGCGGCGCGACCCGAAGGGATTCTTCCCGGGATGGAGCAGCGTAGTGAGGGTGGGCGGTGTTGTCTTGTCTCTGCCAGGCCACCTGCCAGTCTTACCGAAGAGTAAAAGACGTCGCCATCTCTTACTGTCCCCTGGGATGGCAGTCGCTGACGCACTGGGCCTGAAAGCCAGAGAATAGGACCGGGAGGGAGTGCGGGCTGCTTGCGACCCCCGCGTCTGTGCAGACCGGAAGCGGGGCCGGGGCGGCGGGGGTGACGAGCAGACTCTACCGCCCGGCTGAGCGATGCCAGCCGGGCTCTGAGCAAGCAGTAAGGTTCCTGCGAGCCGCTCTCCATGAGCGTTTGCAGAAACGCACCCACTTCTCCACTGTCCGTTCCCTCCCCGCGTCCGGGCGGTTTCTTCTGGGGCAGTTTGCCTGTGTGGAAATGCTGACTATCCCAGGTGTAACTTGCCCTTTTTCTCAAATTGCTTCCTGGATAGCTCACTCTCTTGGGAATCCAATCAACTTGAAATGTTCGGTGTCTAAATTGGACACCTTTTCTTTCCACGCCTCTGTCAGACGTCGTGTTCTGTTGTTTGTCCCTGCTGTAACCCCAGCATCCATCCATTCCTATACCCATTGCCTCCACCGCATCAGAGTTCTCACTCATCTCCCTTGAACAGTGTGAATGCCTCGTTTTTCTTGTTGATGGCCTTCTTCACTGCCCCACCAGCATATTTTACGAATAACTGCTATAGATGTAGCCATACTCAAGCACAGCTGGAATGCAAGATATTCAATAGCCCCTTGCTGCCAAGTCCAAAGATATTAATTTGGTTTCAAAATTCTATTTTCTGATGTTTCTCTTTCATTCTCTCGCACGTGGTAAACCAGATCATATGTAGTACTAAATTAATTACTCATTCATTACATTTCTCTAGATCGACATTGTCCCCTTGTGCTTGGAATACTTACATTCCCTTACAAATACCACACACACACACACACATCCCACCTCCAGGTGTTGACAAGTTATATCCATTCTCTAAGACGTTACAGTATGACATCACCATCTGGAAATAATGTTTTACCTCTGCTGGGTTCCATAATACTTTCTGAACTTTATGTGTTATTGCCACTTTCTGACTTTGGGCTACAGTTATTTATACACACCTTCTTTAATTTATTTGTACATCTTACAGTATATAACATTGTGCTTCTCATAAAGTAAGCACTCAGTACACACTTGTGAAATGAACATCGAAACTGAATAATCCAGGCCATAGTTTAGAAGCATTAATATAACAAATAGGATATTATCAATGGAAGGTGCTCTTTGTGTCAAGTAGTAAGGGAGATACCATGATCAGGGTTACAGAAATGGAATATCCTTACTAACTGAATAGGAGACAGGACAAAAACAGTAGGAAACAGTGAGAATTCCGCTGCTTTGAGTCTGTGAAGTTGACACGGAAAAGGAATTTTAGTTTCATTTAATTGAAGTGTCAAATAGTCTAAGAGTACAGATTAATGTGTGGTGATACCCCTGTGTAATCCCAGCACTCTGGAGGTGGAGGAGAAATGATGATGAGTTTAAGGCCATCAGCTACATGAGAATCTTATCTTTTTTCTTTTTTTTTTTTTTTAAATTCAGTTTAGCCAGGTGGTAGTGGCATACCACTTTAATCTCAGCACTTGGGAGGCCAGCCTGGTCTACAGGACGATCAAGGCTACACAAAGAAACCCTGTCATGAAAAACCAAATATATATTTATTTTATGTGCATTGGTGTTTTGCCTACATGCATGTCTGTGTGAGGGTGTCAGATCCCCTGGAACTGGAGTTACAGATAATTGTGAGCTATCACATGGGTTCTGGGAATTGAACCCAGGTCTCCTGGAAGACCAGCCAATACTCTTAACTATTGAGCCATCTCTCCAGCCTGGAGACCCTATCTTAGAAAAAAAAAATCCCTAGTTTAATAGTTCATTATAAAAGTAACAATAACGTGTGTGGTAATCACTGTATAAAAGATTCACATGTAGGGCTGAAGAGACGGCTGCTCTTCCAGAGTTCTTCAGTTCAATTCCCAGCATCCACATGACAGCTCACAACTGTGTGTAACTCCCATTCTAGGGCATCCTCACACTGACAAAAATACACATAAAATAAAAATCTTTTTTAAAGAAATCACATGTTTATAGAGTCTTTTCCTGATCAATTTCTTGTACTGATTAACAGTTAAAGGCAAAGTTACTCCCCTTTCCACAGCATTTAGTGCAGAGTTCCAAAAGCAGAGTTCCAAAAGGTAGAAGGCAGAGAATTCTCAAACTGTCAATCCAATGAAAACTTTTAATGGAAACAATCAGCTAGGTGTTGTGGTAAACTCATGTAATCCCAGTTCTTGGGAAGTGGAGGTACATAGATCAGGAGTTCAAGGTCAGTTTCTACTATACAGGAAGTTTAAGGCCAGGCTACAAGAGACCCTGTCTTTAAAGAAAACAAAACAAAACAAAACAAACCCCCCCAACAAACAACCATTCCTGGGCCCAGTAAAATGTCACAGTGGATAAAAGCACTTGCCACTAAGATACCTTGAGTTGGATCCCTGGAACCCACCTAGTAGGAGAGAACTGCCTCCTGCAGGTCATTGTCAGACCTCATGTTCACTGTGCTACAAGGTCTCCCTCACATGCATAGACACACTATAAATGCATCTGAGAAAAATATATTCCAAAAGTAAATCAGTTCCTTCTTATAAATGAAGAACGGTAAATAAATAGCTTTTCTCATAAGTAGAAAAGCAATTAGCAGAAATAATCCTCAACTTCTGTAACTTTTTCTGAGTATCTAAAATAATAACTATTTACGGACTGAAGATTCTGTGCTGTGTGTTTTGGAGACTGCTCAATGTGTCATCATTTCAACAGCAGAAATATTCTGGGAATCAAGGTTTGGAAACAATCACTATCCAAAGGGTCCTGCCGAGGAGAGAACAGAAACAAGACGAGTCCAGGTCAGATCCCTGCAATCTTACCAGTTATTTTGCAATTAAACCTTCCTAATTTTTATATCAGGGATCTTTTCTGAATGTCATATTGCATCAAATCAAAGGTGTTATCTGTTGTAAGGTACCTATTGCCTATTAATGTTTTTGTAATACAACATTAATTGAAGGTATATCATCACAGTTTCAGGAATCTAAAATGTTTACATGCATTTATACTCATGTATATATGTACACTTCAATGAAATTCAGCAAAGCCGTGAAGCAAAGTATTTCTTATAAATGATAAAAATATAAATATCTCTCTTGAATCCTTTAGAAGATTAACTTTGTCATAAGATAAAAAGATAAATTTTAAATGTAAATGATAGGTGGGTATAAGAATAAATATTTAGAATGTAGTTAGGAATTATGTTGGTGTTGTAAAGTTATGGTTGTTAAGTTTTCCTCCAATATCTGTAAATTCACTAGCTTTGTAGACTTGGCTGGGTTTCCAGTACCAAGCATGACTTCCCTCTTGTTGAGGGCTTAAGTCCAATTAGAGCGCTGTTCATTACCACCAAGGTATGTGTGCCAGCCACTATTTTAGGTACCCTTTGCCATGCTGGTTAATTGTTGTGGTTCATAGGCATCATAGATAGTCAAGACTATTGGTTGCTTCCCTCTGCTAGAAGCTTGTGTGGTATCATCTGGTACCATGAAAGCTAGTTTTCAGAGAGAAGGCCTTCAGGTCAAATTCATTTTGGGTCCTCTGGGCTCTGTGTCCACAGTGCATGGTGTCTTCAGCAATAGGGACTTACCTTCCACCTCTGGGGGTTATGGGGATTGAAGGGCAACAGCAGTAGCTTATAATGCTTTGAGACTCTCTTGGAAAATCCAGACCAACAGTTTGAAAAAGGGCTTTTCATGCCTGGTGTTGGGATTTTTGTTTGTTAGTCTATGGCTCTTGTGGAGAACAGTGTCATCACAGATGGAAAATTTCCATTGAACTATATATGTATATGCAGATTTAGATGTAATACAGGTATTTAGGTAGATACTTAAAAGTATAATTCCTTATGACTTTTTCAGACATCCCTATTGTTATCCTAGTCCCTCTTTTTTCTGTATTTCCTTCTCCCCTCTCCATCCCTCTCCATTTTCCCCATCCCTTGCTTCAGGTCACTTGTGCTCTATTTCCCTCTCTATTGCTCATTCACGCCTACAGCTGCAATGCTCCCCTTTTATCTTCCTGGGTTGTGCAGTTACTCCAGGTTATGTACTGACATCTGAAAATTTGGAGCTAGAAACCTCAGGTGACACAGAACATGTGATGCTTGTCTCTCTGGGTCTGGGTTACCTCACTCAGTATGATCTTTGCTAGTTCTGCCAAGTTATCTGAGAGCTCCATCATTTCATTTTTCTTTACAGCTGAATAATATTCCATAATATATATGTGCCACATTTTAATTATCCATTCATCCGTTGAAGGACATTTAGGTTGTTTCTATTTCCTATCTATTATGAATAGAGCAGCAATGAATGCGGCTGAGAAAGTTCCTGTGGAATAGGACCAGCATTCTCTCTTCTTTAGGCATGTCTGAAGGGTATACCCCCACTACATCATGAGATTTTAATATCAACCACTTGACATAGAAACACTTTAGAGAGCATGTA